TTCAATTGGAGAAAACTCCCCACGCGCCCTGCGGGCGCGGCGAAAAGGAGGTGCGACAACGTGGTCCGGAGATAATACAATTTAATAATATATATAGACTAATCATACACAACTCTGGTGGTAAATTATAAGAGGTAAGAAAGATAGGTCATCATGAATATGTTGTCGTAGATATAGAAAAAGGTGTGAAGCCATCCGCACACAAACCTAACCAAATGTTCCTTGGTTCACTAGAAAAATCTGGATATGTCCTATCAAAGTGATTAATCTTCTCCATCTGAAGGATAACACATAACACCAGGTGGTCATCTATTTTCAAAGTGTCATCTCATATGAGGAGTATAACTCATCGACGCATATAACCTCTTTAACCTAGGTATACGAGGTAAATAATGCATCGCCTTGACAACGACCATATTCCCGCTGGAAGGCCTCTTGAAACAAGGCTTTTCGCAAAATTTACAACTGTCTAAAGTTGCATCATCTTTGTAATATAACATGCAACCACCTTCACAACAATCAATTCTCATTGACGAAAGTCTTAACTTAGAAACCAATCTCTTTGCCTTATAGAAATCACCAGGTAAGTTGATATTAGGGTCAACTAATTTACTCATAAGGTCAATGAAAAAGTCCATGGCTGCTTGAGAAATATTCCAATCAGATTTGATACTTAGTAATCTAAATGCAACAGACAATTCAGAGTGCAAACTTCCATCACGTAGTGGACGACTAGCTTCCTCTAATTGTTCATAAAAATGGTTTGCGTCATCATTAGGAGTTTATTCAAGATTTTCATTGGGCTCACCGCCAAAGTGCATCCCAAAAGTATCCCAACCATATCCTGAATTCTAGAATCAAGATTTGTATTCTCCACCGACCTACTACTTTCACCAACAACCATGTTATGAAATATCCCACGGCTACCATCGATCTCTCCATGATTAGTCCACACAAAGTAATTCTCTATAAACTCTTTCCTATAAAGATGAAGCTTAACTTCCTCCAGTTTTTTAAACTTCACACAATCGCACTTGACACAAGGGCACCTAATTACTCCTTCACTTTGGTATGATGGAAGTGACATTGCATATCTAATAAAGTCATCAACCCCTTCTACAAAATCCTCCTGCAATCCCCGCCGATTAGGATAATTCCTATTGTATATCCAAGTACGATGTTCCATCTATACAAATAAAACAAGAATAAATTAATTTATTTTACAATTATAAATTAATTAAATCTTTTTTAGTTATTTAAGATAATTAATTTTTAATAATTACACCCAAGAGGTTCAACAATTATCCCTTAAAATTCAACCATTACCCCCTTAAAAGTTTAATTCATATCCTAAAAGTTCAACCCATATCCTAAACAATTCAATTAATACCCCAAGCAATTCAATTAACCTCACACAACATAAGCTCTATCCGAAAATTTCAACATTTACCCCTAAAAATTCGATTCATACCCTAAAAGTTCAATTCACAAGAACAAATCCTAAAAATACAATTCAATTCAATTCAATTCAATTCACTTTTAACATGACCTACCCTAGATTTCAATAAAACNAAATTTTGAGAAGAGAGTGAGAAAAATAAGGGGAAAATCCCGTATTTGGGATCTGGAATTAGAATTACCGACCAACGTTGGTCAGTACACTAAGTGGTCGAGCGTTAATTGTGTTTGACCATTTAACGACCAACTTTGGTCGTTTTTTTAAAGACTAAATTATTTTTTGTGTTTTTATTTTTTTAAAATATTATAAACTATAAAAAATTATTATAAACTATAAGTATTTATTTTATTCACATATATATTTACTATAATTAATTATAAACTATATCAGCATAATCATTATAATAATTATATTAACTAATTACTATTAATAAATTATAAACATATAGTTTATTCACACATATATATAATTAATCAATCATAATAAAAAATAAAGGTATATATATCAGACGTTTATTTTATTTGAATTCCACATTTCGTCTTATATATTCATTCGTTTTATAACTAATTACAAATCACATAGATTAGTAAATATTGGTCAAGACGTTTTACCTTTTGTATTCATCTATCTAAATTTTGTTTTTAATATTTATCGATGTATATAAATAAGTTATAAGTCGATGAATCAATTTACAAATAGATATATTTGATGATAAATTATATATACTAATTAGGATCTTCACAAGTGATCTATCCCTAAAATAAACCAATCGACCCTGTGTTCCTAGCGCTTCGTGTTCTTTATATATATAGACACACACATACACATAGAGACACTTCATTGTAATACTTTAACAATATATATAACATGTTATAGTATATGTTAGTGTATGTATATATATAACACACACACTTCGTTGTGCTACTTTAACTACATATATAGCATGTTATAATATAGTTAGTGTATTCATTATTTGTATTACAAAAGAGTTAACGGATTACATTTATATTATTTAGATAGTAAATATTAATGCGATTCAAATTAAAAGTTTGACCATGTTTGACCTATTAATTTAACTCGTTTACTTAATACTAATAATTCTTCTATTTTCCATTCATTCATCACTAATAATGCATGACATAGATTAATCGATATAGGTCAAGACGTTTTGTTTTTACTATTAATAAATATAGGTCAAACATTTTATTTTTAATATTCAATGATGCATCTAAGTAAGTTATAAGTCGATGAAATTATATATACAAATAGATATATTTGATGATAAATTATATATACTAATTAGGATCTTCACAAATTTGTGATTCATAATTTTGACCAATGTTGACCTAATAACTGACCTACTTTGGTAGGTTATTTTCCAAAGATTAAAATATACCGACCAAAGTTGGTCGGTAAATGCTTCCCCTGCATTAACCGACCAATGTTGGTCGGTAAATTTAAATAAAATTCTTTAAATTTTATAAACCATTTTAAATAATAATATAACTATTAAAATTTAAAAAATTGGGTCTACATTACCGAACAAAGTTGGTCGGTAATGTGAAAGTTTCTTTGACTAAGCAAGTCTAACCAGCTCGAACTTGTTGACCAATTTACCCAACCAACTTTGGTCGGTATTTTTTTTAAAATAAATGTAAAATATTTTTTTTTCCTGTTTTCGTTCAAGCTGGACGGATTTTGGTCGCTTTTTTTGACCGACCAACGATGATCGGAAAATTTTGGTCGGTTTTTTCCATATTTCTAGTAGTGCACCGACTCTCGACCCTTTATAACCCATCTTGATCGTCACAATACTGCTCCAAATAATTTATGAACTGAATTTTTGTGTACTTGAGTTTGTTTTAGTATTATGAGGTCAATGTGAAGCTTTTGCGTAGCTATTGGTGATATGAGAAGGATGGATGATAGAGTTGAGTCGGAGTTCCGACAGAGGTTGAAATTAAACTTGGGGTGCAACTGATCATTGTTTAAGTATTTGGGTTGATTTGCCTAATCCTTAAAAGCAGAACAACTAACTCACTTAAGTTTTAAACTTATGGGCACACATCAAACACATAGTTCAAGTTAAAAATCTCTTTATCACAAATTCATCATTCATGGCCCTCAACAACAACAACAATAATAATCTAGTATAATCCCACTTAGTGGGGTCTGGGTAGGGTAGTGTGTACGCAGACCTTACCCCTACCCTAGGGTAGAGAGACTGTTTCCAAAATAGACCCCCGACATCCTTCCCTCCAAAAACTTTTCACCTTGTTCTTGGGGAAACTCAAACTCACAACCTCTCGGTTGGAAGTGGGGGTTGCTTACCATCAGAGCTAAGCAATATTATGAACACTCATTCAAAAACAACAGCTAAGCAATACTATGAACAAGAACAATATGCAAATCAAATCTATATGCAAGTCACTTTTAATAATTTTTAACCATGTAATTAGTGACAAGTTCCAAAAAATATTGTGTCATGAACCTATAGACTCGTGTTTCATTTTCATTTTCTACTTTAACTTATAACTTTTGAAATACATAGAGTCGTGTTTGAATATTGTACAAAACTCTATTTATCATAATATATCCCTTGAACTAGCTAAGAAACTCAATGAAATATTATATATTCCAATAAAATACTAACATACTAGCTCATAGAATTTGTAAATTAAGGGGCAACTAACGGGATTATATTGCACGATTATCTTCCAACAACTTAGAATTGGTTCGATTTCTTAAATCACAAAACTATTCTTTAAGAAAATTTACATTCCAATAATCATGGCACAACAAACAGAAACTTTATAAGGAGGGGACACAATTTTCCCCCCAAAATCCAATATATATAATACACCAACAAGTAATTAATTAAGTATGCTGTTTCTTCAATATCTATACATAGTTTAGAGCTAATTAATGTAACTAATTGTATAGTAACTCTAGTAATCCATTGTGTACACATAGAAGTCGTTTAATTAATTATTACTTTCCATAACTCCAAAAGTCCATCTCTCCACGCAGCGGAAGGTGATTATTGATTTGATTCATAGAAGATGATGCAACATTTGCTACCTCCAAACCAGACTCACCTGATGAGAAGTCATGAGGATGATGATTATATCCCAATGACATGAAGTTTTGTGCTAACTGAATATTATTATTATTATGTGAATTATACTCATGTTGTGGAAAAGTAGTAGCAACTGCAGTAGGAATATGGGAATAGTTTAAGCTATGGTCATGGCTGTGTTGTTGGTGTTGTAGTAGATATGGGCTATCTTTGTGTGTGATCAAGGTTGTTCGAGGTTGGTGGATTGAGGTGCTGCTGTTTAGTAGATGATCTGAGCCTGTGTCAGTTGTACCTTCATTTGCAATTACTTTGAATAGGTTCTTCTTCTTGAAAACCCTACAAATCACCCACCCATCCTCCTGCACATTTTAAAAAAAAGATATTTAATTTACACAAATAGTCAGCTAGATTCAACATTTATTTTTTCTAGTCGGTATATATATAAATTATATAGGAATACAGGGGTATATATATATATATATATATAGTATAATTTCACCGACTATTTTTAGTTTAAGCGGTTGGGTGGATGACTATTTAGGTTAATTCTTTTTAAAAACAATCGTAATAAGTCGGAAGAACTTCTCTAGCTTTTATGTTCCATGCAGTAACATGTAAAAAATATTTATACAATTATATCACTTAAAATTAATTATAAAAACAACAATAACAACAACAACAACCCAGTATAATCTCACTTAATGAGGTCTGAGAAAAGTACGTAGTGTGTACGCAGACCTTAATTATAAAAACACAATTTACTAATTAAGTATTGATTGATAATCCATAATAAAATAAATTATCAGTCTATATAACTTAATTAAAGTCTTCCTATATTGTTTCATTTATTAGCCTCTATTGCGCCGTTCAAGGATTCAGCTGAATCGTAATTATGGATAACAAATTCCTAAGCAAGCAAGCTGGAAATTCTCCTGATAGTCAAAGATTTTGTGGTAAAAAGTCAATCGTCAAGATATTCACTAATTAATTGAATCGTTATTAGTACTATCATTTAAATACTTTGACTTTCATACACATGATTGCATGCATGCAATTGACTATGCAAGACTTCAACCAGCTGGTCTTTCTTCAATCTATGCATGTACGCCACATGTAGAGGTGACAAAATGGTTCAAAAAAAATAATTATTCACTCATATATCTATTACAAAATTAGTTGTATAACAAACTTTTTAAAATGGGTCAAATATGGGTAAGAACCATATTATCCACCTAAAAAATGGTTAACCAATGGATAACTAATGTGTTTAACTTTTACATTTGTAAAGCCTCAAATTGGGGGTTTCTCAAGTTTGGGAGACAAAGAATTCTCTCATAAGTCATGGATATTCATATTATCCATCGGATAACCCATTTTTATCCGTCTTAATTAAATACGGGTTGAGTCGGATAATTTATCCGTTTTTTGAATTACCCATTTTCGACTCACTCAGTTCCGACTCGATCCGATCCGACCGTTTGCCACCCCTAGCCACATCTATGCTTGTTTTAGTCATCTTATCTTTTTACTTTATTTAAAAGAAAAATCTTTTATTTGTGATCCCTTGAATAGGGACTAGAGGGGGGCTAGGATTTTGAGTTTTAAGGATTTTGGATTGAGTTTTAAATAAATTATTTATAATATATATAATGTCATGAGTTTTTAACACGATACTAAAGCTATTGAATTCGGCGAACCCATAAGCAGAACATGAAGCAACTTACACTTGAATTTTCGTCGGAATCTTCAAGCCTATACTCATGCATAATCCAATCAGTCTTTTGGCCATGTGGAGCTCTTCCTCTGTAAAACACTAAGGTTTTCCTCATACCAATCTTCTTGAATGTGTTTCTTATGCATTTATCCCTGCCTGTTGCCTTCCAAAATCCAGCATTTGTTGCTCGGTTTGTTCTTGAACCTGTGGGATACTTCCTATCCTTGTGACTGAAAAAGTACCACTCATTCTGCGGTGTTGATCCAATCTTGCACCTCTCTGTACATGAAACATCGCATGATTTTCTTAAACTTAATTTCCCACTAATTACGTGCATCAGTCATCAGCACAATAATAACTAAGAAATCCTGAATTGTTACTACAACAGCTATATATTATGCCCAAGTAGGAGTAGTATAAGAGTGATCTCTCCTTGAATTAATATGTCCTTATAAAACTAATCTACAGAAGGAATATTGGTGTTTAATAGATCAAATGATCATATACTTATATATAACGTGATGTGGCGTAGCTAAATTTTATCTTACTGAAATAAAGTTTACACTTTTCAGCGAGTGTAAAAAGATCTTAAATTCATGTTACTCTTACATATCAAAAACAAATAATTAAAAACATATATGTTCGTCTAAAAGTTTAAGCAGTTAGACAAATCACTTTTTTACTTAATTTCACTATGTCTCTATCAGAAAACAATTATACTATATATGTCTCAACACAACGAAATACAACGGCGGATCCAGGATTTAAACTCTACGGATTCAGCTTAGCTTTAAGATTTTTAGCATTTACGCGTTATATTTTTAAAATTATGGGTTCAAATCTACTACGTATTTGTTATAATTCAGTAAAGTAATTTTAAGCATAAATTTATGTTCCGCATCAAAAATTATAGGTTCAGTTGAACCCATCACATATATGTTATATACGCCCTGGCAAAATATGTTTCTCGTTGATAACCAAAGTAGTAAAATCTGATGANTATATATATATATATATATATATATATATATATATATACGTACCTTGCAATTCCCAGGGCTCCATCTTATTCAAGTCGACTTCTCTGATTACCTCCATATCGAACTTATGAAATGAAAGTTTCTTCTTCAAGTAGTAATGAAGAAGCTCTTCGTCTGTTGGATGAAACCTAAACCCCGGCGGAACACCACCACCGCCACCACCACCGCCACCACCTGATGAAGCCATATATGCTAAACTGTACTCCGATCCTTAATTGCGGCTACAGTTGACCCCAAAATATTAAACGGACGATCTCTTAATTTGCACTCTCTCGCTGTAGCTTTCTTTCTTTATTTGATTGAGATGAGCTCTTATATATATATATATATATATATATCCTCTTTGTCTCAACTATCAACTAGGTATTGTGCGGAGAGAAAGTTGACGGCCGATGACGCCGCCGGCGCTAACTCTTAAAGCTAAAGTAAATTGCAAGTTACAATAGCACGTACTGAGACTCAAATATTTAAGATGGTTCAACCCTATTCCTGTAAGCCCTTTCTCTATACGCACGCGCATATGAGAGGTTGAATTCACTACTAAAAAAATATGATTTAACGACGGCCAAATTCTGTAGCTAAACAGAATAATTCGTTGCCAACCTCATTTAGCGACGGATTAGCGACAGATTATTAAGAAATTCTGCTAGCTACGGGGCAATTTAGCGACAGATTAGCGACGACGTTCGTAGCTAATTTCAGTTTTTTTTAGTGATTATGGACACATTAATTTACCGATTTAAGTTGTATACACCGTGGAATATGTTTAAACAATCAGGTTATCTATTTTTGTTGTAGCATGTAACTTAGCTTGTTTTATTTTCAAAATTACAAATTTCATATTTTTAGCTTGTTTTATTTTCAAAATTACAAATTTCATATTTTAAGAATACTTATCCACGGATATCCTTAAATTGGCCTGCTAGAGTAAAAAAAAAAATAGTATAGCTTAAACTCTTTATTTACTCTATAGTAATTCATTTTTGTATTGATGATATTCATCTTTGTGTTCCTCTTTGGGGAGAATTCATATAGAACAAAATCACTTTTTATTTTTATCTTTTGGGAAAAAAACTTTATAGTGTTTTTTGTTTATTCAAAATTAACAAATGTTGTATCCAGTTGTTACTATAAGTTCAAAAGTCACTAATGATCACATTTCTATTCAAATTCAAAAATAGATTATCAGTTCCACAATATATATGTCACCAAATGGCGAAGAAATACTCACTTAGCTACATATTACGTAGTTTTTTTCTTATTTTTGTCACATCCTAGTTGAATGAATGCAACCGGCTTATTTCCAAAATCGAATAAAGTGTTAGAAAAAATAGCAGAATATGGGACGAAATAATTAGGTTTTGATAGTGTAGTCATTGTCCTTAAGAAATTTAAGCCTCCCAATTTCGTTGTTGCAGGAATTATGGCAGAATTCCTCCAGAATTCTACAAAGCCTCTGAAATTTGAGTATCAGTAATTAACTCGACTAGAACAAACTTTTATGAATTGTAAATAGCAGAAAGGGAAGAAGATGGAAAACTATTATTTTTCTGATGATTTTTGTTTTGGAGAGGAATGGGGTATTTATAAACTATTTTAGGCGTCTCTTAGAATTAACAGACTCAACCTTTGCCAACAGGCACCTTTTAAAACCAATAGTCACCTTTTTGAGTTTAAAAGAAAACTGTTAAAAATGCTTTTTGAAATTAAAAAAAAAATTGCTCAAGTTCCCAATCTTGACTATTAATATTAATAATATAGTCAAATTTCAATTTTCCTCTAAAATATCCTTAAAAATATTCAAACTATATAAGTCAAAGAAATGCTTTTAAACATCACTTTCTTTCTTTCTTTTTCCAATAAGGGACAAAAGAACCTCTTCTCAAATATTCCCATCAAACACTAACTAATCTAGCATAAAGTTAGAACACTTATGTCATATTGTACTATCTATATAAACATTTTATTGAGGTAGAAAATTGATTAAATTGTTAATAAATGTTTAATTAGGATTCGTTGATCTGTATTCTTTGATCATTAGTATGAGTATTTTTCTTGTACTTACTAGGTTTAGTATATTGAAGGTTTATTTTCACTTGCCATGAATTATTCCCGCATTATATGACCAGATAGTCCACATAATCAACTTGCCGAGGTGATTTTAATTACCAATTTTGCGTCATGCATGCATGGCAAGTGAAATAACTTGCTACAATTGCATACGTATATTCACTTCGGTCCAAAATAATTGACCAGTTTGCTTTTGGCATGCTCATTAAAAAAATACTAAATTCTATACAAAAATATTTAGTATAATTAAACAACCCTTACATATTTTATGTGAGGAGTAAGAAAACTTTTTAGGGATATGCAAATAAGGGTAATTTTGTAAAAACTAATTAAATTTTTTTTGATTATATAAATGGACACTTATTTTGAACCAAAATAAAAAAACAAATTGATCATTTATTGTAGACCGAATGGAGTAATATTTACTAGTAACCAACTTGCTTAAAATCCACTTGCTGCACAAACGCGTTCAATCTACGTATTGTAACATGAATCTCCTGTACTATTAAAAGGAAATAAATGATCCCGAGGACACATAAAGAAATATTTGATTGTTTCTTAAGCAAACTTCGGTGAAAAACAGCTACAAACCTTCTCGGGATTGGCAAATTCATGTGGACGGCCAATATTTAATATGAATGATTAATGGAATTTGATTTTAAATTAATCCGGAATCCAGGGGTCAAGGTTTAGGTTTAGGTTTAGGGCTCTGTATATAATGTGAAAAGTTGGAGATTCAGTAGCCATAGCTCGGGCTTCGCACATGTTAGGAGACGACCTCAAGGAAGTTTATTAGTTTTGTTGATTCAACTTCACGCTTCTTTTCTGTTCATTTACTATAGGCGAAATGACTTCTTGGTCACTTAAATTTGTAAGGCTTTTAAAAATCGATACACAAACTTTAGTCTTTCCCATTTAAATACTCAAACTCGTGAAACCTATAACTAATAAACACATTTGACCATTGACTATGCTTATGTGGCAGTAGCTAATCTTACGTGGACATAGTACGTACAAGTCACATTCAAATGGCGTGTGTGTGCCGATTTCCATAATAGAAACACCCCCCCTCGGATCTCGTCTTCTACACACCACTCCTGTATCTTCGCACCATCCCCAACAACCAGAAACAAGGCTTCACCTATAACCCACAACAACGACCAAACGAACCCAACCTGTCCCTCCTCTCCATCTACGCCTAACAGTGCCCCCCGCCTACCACCAGAAACGGCTTCAAGATAAACACACATACATGCAAGGGTCAAATGTGTTTATTAGTTAAGAGTTTCACGAGTTTGAGTGTTCAAATGGGAAAGTCCAAAGTTTGTGTATCGGCTTTCAAAAGCCTTACAAGTTTAAGTGACCAGGAAGTCATTATGCCTTTACTATATATGCCTTCTTTTCTTCTGTTTCAAAATACTTATCAATTCTCGAGAGTCGATTTGACTATTAATCTTTGAAGCTAAGTAAATTGGATGAAATTAATTCAATAATATCTAAAAATTAAAATTTACATATTCGAAAACGATACAAAAAATAGTATAATTTACACTTTTCATATCAATATGCTAAGAAAACTACATATAAAAATATCGGTCAAAGTTCATGTATTTGATTCTCGAGATACAAAACATGACAAATATTTTAGGATGAAGGGAGTATCATAAAAGTAGCGAGCTCTGTATTGTTAGAAACCTTTGTTCGTAAATGATTTCTGGAAAAAAATAAAACATACAGAAACAGAAACAGAATATAAACAGAATAATTAAAGTTCCGAGCTCAACAGAACACTGTATTTTCTTAATGAATTTAATCCCCTCACTGTTGCCCAAAATTGTTGGATTAATTCCTCCCAAGATAAAACCGAACAACTATTCTGTAATACCAGCAATGGAGATTACACAACTTCGTCGAAGTCAACAAACAGCAGTAAACCACACTGATGCTTACGTTTTTTTGTTTGAAAATAATGCAGAAATACAGAAGAGAGAGGGGAGAGTATGCAGATTTTGGTGCTGAAAAATGAGGCAAAACCTCTGAATTTATAGCTAGACAGTCTGGGTTGAATAGGTGCAAAGGTACCTGTTCATATGAGGTACCATTTCGGTAGAAGTCTAGTTGCGCATTTTTAAACTCAAAACGACTGTTGGGAACCGTTAATTTTAAATTAAAATTCCGCGAAAAAAATATTAGAAAAGAAATTGTATAATGAAAAATGGGAAATAAATCGAAGCCGAAGCCGAGCCAATCGACAACGCTGCCGCCGTGAAACACCACTTCTTCTTAACTATTTAAGAGTTAAAAGATGTGATTTTCTATATAAGCACAAAGATTTTCTTTTCTTTTTCCGATGAGGGACTAAGTGCATTAGTAAAGGAAATTATTTCAAGCTTTTTCGTTTTCCTCCTAATCTTTTCCTTCCATTTCTCATTCACACCTCTTATCTAATTAGATAAAAAAAACCAACATGTATTTCAAGGTACAACTGATATATAGGTTTTCTCCCCCTAATTAAAATCTTGACGTGTTGCTAAAACTCTTGATTAAAGTCCTAATACCTTAACTGCAGAGTGTGTTCGGAATGATTGAAATTATTTTCTGTATTGGTCAAAATCTGACCGATGTGGTCGACCCAATTGGGATCACGTCCAAATAATGGGATAAGGAAAGACGACATTATTTACGCCAGACCACGTATTTACCGAACGACGAAAGCGGATGCAGTATGAGGGGGCTATGGCCCAAATACATGGCAATGACTCCATGACTATATAGGGATGAGACCTTTCCAGAAAGAGGGCATTTTTCTCTTTCTCTCCTCTGTAATTTCCTTAGTGAACGAAAAGTAAAACAATTTTCGATCTTTCATTAAATATGTACAACAGTTATTTTCACCGATTGGAAAAAGAAGAAATGAAAGGCATCGACAACTTATCACTTCTACTTCATTTCATGTATCATTTTCCGGTTTGTCAGTAGATCTGGAATTTATTATGTTTGGCTAAGATTTATCTCTCCAATTTCCTTAATTGATTTAATCAAAAAGGTTTCAATATCTTTTGGTCAAACAATTTGGCGTCGTTTGTGAGAATTTCTTAGTGAAATTTCCTAGTCTCTTCCAGATCAAAAACCAGAAACATGATTACCTACTGAAAAGAGCGCTAAGGCAAAGCCCAACCCATGCAGTGCAAAAGCATAACATGGAAGGGGAAAGAGAGCTGAATACG